TACATACATACATACATACATCACATACATACATACATACATACATACATACATACATACATACATACATACATACATACATACATACATACATACTCATAAATACTTTTACATAGGTACATAAATAGATACAGACATAAACATACCTACACATTTCATTAACACATACGAATACATATACATAGTAATGCATACATAAACGATCATATATAAACAATCTTGCAACTCAAGCTTACACACATACTATCGCTGTGAGTTTAAAAAGCAATGCCTATTTGTCCGTTTAGATTTGCATCTAGTGAAAGCTCGTCTACGATTTAGCAGCCACAGTATTCAAACCTACGTACAGCCAACAGTTTGTATCTGTTAACTCTAACACTTGTTGGGTTTACCACTTTCATCACCATCATTTGAGTGAGTAGTCTGAGAATAATACTTAGACAATTATACACCGCTTTGAGCACATTTATCGCCAATCATTATGTTCCATAGGGTTGAACGTGTGCAGGCGCCCAACCCATTCAGGTTTATCCATCACTTTCTTCGTGGAATGATCACTGCTTCCTAAATTTCAGTTGCATTATCCTTCTCTCTTTTTTCTCTTCACACACACATACACACAAGTATATATATATATATATATATATATATATATATATATATATATATATATATATATATATATATATACATACACACACACACATACACATATATGTAGACGAACACGCATATCTCTTTGTCTTTAAATTACTCTCTTTTTGTGCCTCACATTTGCTAGCAATCACTAAGTTTTCTTCTCCTCATAAAATGCTCACATACATAATTCTATATTCTTTTTGTTATGATTATTATTTATGTATTTCTTTTTTTTTTTTTTTAACTTTTTTTTTCTTCTTTTCCTTCTTCTTTTCTCCATCTTTTTATTATCTTCTTCTTCTTTGCGATCCGTTTATATGTTTTGGTTATTTCCATTACGTTGCCTTCATGAACTGTCACGTCAGCTGCAAGTCTTCTTGGATTTCCCAAAGTTTATTCAGGATGCCTCTTGCCTCTGTCCGTGTGTTTTCTTGTACGTTTTCTTGAAGTGTGCATTCTGTAGCATTGCTCTGTTGTTTCTCTCCCTAGGCAGCTGCTGAACTTGGTCAATTCAAACTGATGATGATGATAATGAATGATAAAGATGATCAGGTGTTTGAAATGTGGCTTGTCACTGCTGGATGTTGCAGCCTGCATTCTGCAGCATTGCTCTGTTGTTTCTCTCCCTAGGCAGCTGCTGAACTTGGTCAATTCAAACTGATGATGATGATAATGAATGATAAAGATGATCAGGTGTTTGAAATGTGGCTTGTCACTGCTGGATGTTGCAGCCTGCATTCTGCGCATGTGTGCGTTAATTTTACAGTATCCTGTTCTTGGTTTTGAAAACACGGTGATGCACTAACTTTTGTTTATTCTGTTGATTGCGTCGTCTGGATTTTTGTGGTATGCTCTGGCTCCATTCATAGACCAAGAAAAAGCCTTTTTTAGAGTCGACAGGAATATGTTGTGGGAATGTATGGGAAAAAAAGGAATCAGCAATCATCTCATTAATATTTGCAAAAGCCTGTACACACGTAGTGAATGCTGGATAAGATCGAAGGCAGGGTTGTCAAGAACTTTTATAGTGAACTGTAGTGTGCGTCAGGGTTGTGTACTATCGCCGCTTCTTTTTATAACATACATGGATACCATATGTAGCGAAACGAACTTTAATCATGAAGAAGATACTGCAGAATTACTCTTCGCCGACGACCAGGTACTCATAGCAGAAAATACGGAAAGCCTACAGAACCACCTAAATCAAATTAGTAACAAAGGGGAGGAATATTATATGAAAAAATAAACACTACGAAGACAGAGACAATGGTGATAGGAAGATATAAAGACTATTAGGAAATAAAATTTAAAAAACAACACCCTGAGAAAAACAGAAAAATTTAAGTATTTGGGAGCAATTTTCACATCCGACGGAAAACTGGACAGAGAAATTAGCTCCAGATGTGCCAAAGCTAATCAAGTAATGGGGCAACTATCTCCCCTGTTGACACACAAGCAGATTCCTCAGAGTACTAAATTAAATCTTATCAGAATTATTTTTTTGGCCATAACTATGCTATCAATGCCAAACGTGGACACTTACATCCTCCAATAAACGTAAAATTGTGACAACATAAATGAAATGCCTTAGAAGAGCTGCAGGAGATTTAAGGAAAGACAGAATACGAAATCATGAAATCAGACGAATGCTGGGAATAAAGCCAGCCTTACAGGTCATCAAAGAACAACAAATAAAGTGGTTTGGACACCTAACAAGAATTCTCTGGTACTATTTGCCACAGCGAGCCACACTAAAACGTGAGAACGGGTATAGAGCGAGTGGAAGACCTCTGAAAACATGGAGTGATGGCATTAAAAACAGCCTTCCAGAAATGAACATCTGTCTCGATAGTGCTCTTGACAGAGCTCATCAACGTACATTACATCTCCTCCCGACACTTCGATGAGGTACAAGGTGGAAGAGAAGAAGAAGAAGAAGAAGAAGAAGAAGAAGAAGAAGAAGAAGAAGAAGAAGAAGAAGAAGCTCTGGCTCCACGAGTTAGTGCACTTCTTTTGATCAATGTATATGCCTCTAGTTATGATATAAGATAGAGATCATATTTTCCCAGAGCTCTTTCTTTGACCAGATTTTATTCCATCCATTGTGTCCGTTTCACCACAATGGGCGAGAGCCCACTGTAATACATCATAGATGGACTGGACGTTTGTTGAGTATGTTATCTCCCTTCCCAAGCTATCTCTTGAAGTTTGTGCGGCCAGGAGGTCCAGCATACAGTCGCACCAGATCACAAAACTAAAGTCTTTGGTGCCTCTTTCCTAAAGAATCCTTGCTGCTTTGGTAAAAGCATACTGTTTAACTCTGAAGTTGCGTCTGTCTACTTTTAATTTCTCGAATTAATTTAAACGTGTCAGCTTTCTCATAAAAAATTGTCTCGCTCCGTTTTGATGTTTCTTCCCACGTTCGTTCTCTTTATTCTTTATCCTTTCCTCGGACGGTGGGGTGGGGTAGGGGTGGGAGGATTTCTGGGTTGGTCCCAAGGATCTTGCTCACCCCTCCTTTCATCCTACACTGCCCTAAAAAAGGGCTACATACAGACAATAAAGACAGAAAAACAGTTCCTTTGAAAGGAAGGAAAAAAAAACACTCCCACTGTCATTATATGTTTTTAAGCTTGTCAACCCATTGTTCACATGTTTATTTACATCGCTTCAAGAATTTATTTTTTCTCAATGTAACAAATTTGGCAATAAATGACACAAAAGGAAATTCAATGCACATAAGTAAATGTGAACGTTTCTCGACAACAACGTTATTATCCCACTGAAGGAAATTAAAACTTACAGTTACCAAACGACTGAATAAATGTTTAAAAATATCGTTTGATAAAAGGATAAATATTCATAGAGAAACTGGCCACTAGGGAAGCCAGATTTATTTAGTATTCTCTTGTCAAATATGAAAAGTCAGTGAACACAATAGCCGATGGCTGAGATTCAAGGCTTGTGAGATGCTTTTCGTGTCGTTTGGGATTAACAATTTTAGTACAATGCAATTATCGGTTTAACTCATTGATTCCCAAGTATTTGTTACGTAAAGCAGTTTAGATTTGGACCCGGAAGTGGGAGAATAATATAACAGTACCAAGGAACACAATGAGTTAAAAGTGGGGCTTACAATGAGTACCCCGAAATGTTCTGGGACACTAAAGCTGTCTGTTTTCAGTAAAAATAGGCCCTATCACTATATACCTGATTCGTCACTAGTAGGAAAAGGGTTCTTCACCCACTTGACTTGACAGCACCTTTTCTTTGGTTTGAGCCAGATTTTGTACCTGACACTAGCAACCTATATTGGTATACGTTGGAAGGTACTTTATGTGTATTGTGGTCAAAATCATGTTGGCCGCTTTTGCGTCCCAATCATATCGTTGTATTTAAATTAGACTGACTTCTGAGTTTATGTCAAAAATAGCATAAAATCCTAACCTCAGTGAAAATTCGACAGATTGACAAACAGGCTTACAGGCAAACGTTGGACAATTTTAATGTTAGAAAATTCGCGATCATGCAGAAAAACATATGAAACTTAGATGTTTTATATTTGTGGTTTATGTCGAGAAAGGCTCTGGCCCAAACGCCTTGTTGTTGTGCATGTGTACGTTGTCCCACTTCCTCCTTTCATTAACCTTCTTAGTCACATCCCAGTTGATTGATTTCTTGATATTAGATTGACTGCAGTCACTTCTGTTTACATAAAAAAGAATAATGACACTTGGCAGATTCACCGCCACGGAGAAGCAATGTGACACTTAGCAATTTCGCCACCATGGAGAAGAAATGTGACACTTAGCAATTTCGCCACCATGGAGAAGAAATTTGACACTTATCAATTTCGCCACCATGGAGAAGAAATTTGACACTTAGCAATTTCGGCACCATGGAGAAGAAATGTGACAGTTAGCAATTTCGCCACCATGGAGAAGAAATGTGACACTTAGCAATTTCGCCGCCATGGAGAAGAAATGTGACACTTAGCAATTTCGCCACCATGGAGAAGAAATGTGACAGTTAGCAATTTCGCCACCATGGAAAAGAAATGTGACAGTTAGCAATTTCGCCACCATGGAGAAGAAATGTGACACTTAGCAATTTCGCCACCATGGAGAAGAAATTGACACTTATCAATTTCGCCACCATGGAGAAGAAATGTGACACTTAGCAATTTCGCCACCATGGAGAAGAAATGTGACACTTATCAATTTCGCCACCATGGAGAAGAAATTTGACACTTAGCAATTTCGGCACCATGGAGAAGAAATGTGACAGTTAGCAATTTCGCCACCATGGAGAAGAAATGTGACACTTAGAAATTTCGCCACCATGGAGAAGAAATGTGACACTTAACAGATTCGCGACCATGCAGTAGAAAATATGGAAAGACATGAAATAATGACTATGATATGCACGCCCCCGACCAAATGTGGGGAAAGAGTCTTAGCTCCATTATTACCATCGACTGTTCGTTCGTTAGCTCGGTTTAAGTAACTGGTTTCATTCACATAAATCTTCCACACCCTTATAAAAGGATCACCCGTTACTGGAAGCCCAGACGAAACCCAGTAGATTTGCAACCTACTAGTAATCACCCAAATCCAACCCTGTTCGTCAAAAGCAAACGTATCTGGCCACTCCATTGTCCTGTTATCTCTCTTTAGCTCCTTTTGAGTTGTCATCATGACCCTGTCTTCTCCTATCTTCTGATCAACCAAGTCCTTTTCCTTGTCCCAGAAGTAAACAGCGTTAAGACCAATAGCCCCGTAATAAATCCGTTTATTTCCATGAGCCAGACCATCGGTCTGCGATGTCTTTCTCCCAACGACCCTAATGCCGGCTGTTCCTGCAGTTTTGCTTCTCAGAGTTGACGTAGGAACCTGGTGTAAGTTGTACCCCGCTAAAGAACTATAGTACACGTATTTAAAGTCAGGAGACATTGCGATTCCATTTATGGCCATAGGAAATGTGTAAGTTACACCATTAATAGTGATGTTTTCTGCGCCATTTCCTTCAAGTCCCATGGTAGGATGTGCTTTTTTGTAAGACGACTGTGTCTGTAAATCGTAAACAACAATGGTTTGTTCAAAGGTATTTGTAATATATAAGTATCTAACAGTTCCGTTGATGTAGTCTAAAACTATATCATTCAAGAAAACACTTGAACGGTTAACCACTTCTTGTGGGAATTCATATTTGTGGATTTGACTGTTTGTTTTCAGATCATAAATGACCACTTTGGCTGGGCAGAGGCTCAACTGGTGTCCGATGACACCAGTATCTATGACATACATAAGGTCCGTGTTGGGGTCAATCTCCATGCTCTGAACGTACTGCAGTGCGTTGCAGTCTCCTTGTTTCTGGGCAGCCCAGCTTGGGTATGGCTCAAGTACCGCTTTACCAGTTGTGTTGACCACTTTGGCTAGGACGACCGGATGACCATTCAACCATCTCCATCTTGGAATGGTGACGTATACGTTGTCTTTGTGAATCTGTGAATAGAAAATATAAATCATTGGTCAATTCATTTTTACCGATTATCGTTTCCAGTAGAGTACGTGAATTACTATATTTACACCATTGACGCAAGAAGCATATGTTTTAGACCAGTCGGCACAGGTGGGGAACAGGATCAACACACCACGACTGACTTTACTTCCAGTGACACTTCCTGGTACTCATATTAGGCTGGCTCGTACTGGAAGTCGTAGATTATTTGTAAATATCCACACTGATTTTTATTCCAACTCTGGATCGTCAAGCAAGCAGACAACCATTGAGCTACCATCTCTCCTAATGTCACCAGTATTCTGTTGTTACCGTTACTGAACGGATTCCGAACCCACGTATCGCGACCCAGAATGGAGTCGCTGGGGGTTTTTCAGTTCGGCCCCCGGGAAAGGATGAAATATGAAGAATCTGTAAGATTTAAAAAAAAAATAATAGTAATATTATACTGATGAATCCCTTTCGCCGACGACCAATGTTTTTTCCACGATCAAGTTAATCAGCTACAGGACCACGTTAACCAAGGACACGACAGCTGTCTCAGAAATAATATGAAAGTTAACATTACAACAACAACAACAAACAGAAGTCATATGTACAGCAAAAGAACATCAAACAATCGACATCAAGATTAAAGACCAGAGGTTAAAACAAGTTCAACACTCTAAATACATTGGGAGATGATCTTTACATGTGATCGCCAAATAGACAGACAAAGACTGAAACACGAATCCAACAAGCCAGCATTGTCACGTATCAGCTGACCCCAATTGTAAAACACTCCGCTATGCAATAGAAACAAAAAGACAAATTAGTAATGCAGTCTTCATACCAACCTTGTGCTATCCATGTCAGACTTTGACATTGGCCAAAGAACATGAAAGAGATCTAACCAACTGCGAAATGAAATATTTGAAGAAAAAATAAAAAGGCCGTGAACAAAACTAGATGAGATCATGCGAGAAACGAACAACGCCTGTAATTAAAATCATTGAAAATGAAAGACTGAAATGAGAAGGAATCCAATTATGTGAGCAACGACAGCATACAAGAAGAAAGTAGAAACACCAAGAGTTAAGAGACTAAATGTTTTTATGTCAACACCGCTGGTACGCGGGAATTCAATCAAACACGCGCCGCCTCCAAACTAAAGGTTGGCTGCAGTGGAATTCCATACGATCTGTCTTTTTGCCCAGTATATAAACTTTCTCTGACAGTTGTTTTTCTTTCTTTTTAAATTATCATTCCACTTGAATTGTTGCCTGCCCCTTGCTCGCTCTCTAGCTTTCATCTTTGTGGGTTTTTTTTTTTAAACGAATTTAATTATTACTTCCAATTCTCGTGAATTTCAAGCAACTGTTTTTCCCGTGTGAGTTCCGTCGCCCCATTTTGGGGAAAACAAGAATAGACTCACTGCCTGTCCAACAAGCATGTCGTAAGCGTCTACTCATTGGGGAGCTTTCTTCGAAGTCGGAGTACATCTGCCTGAGAGGCAAGGAACCAATAGTCTGTATGCAAATGAGTCAGACCTGTAAAACTGATGTGCACACATTACCCAGTTTCTGGAAAAGGACTAGAGGTCAGACGTGGACGAACAACCAGAACTTTCCACCGGAGTTTACAGCCGTTGAGAAAGAAAAAGAAGCAGCTGTTTCACACACTTTAGGTGGCCTGAGTAGTGTGCACTAGCCCCTGTCAGCGTGATCCTCAATATTTATGCACACACACACACACTCTCTGTCTGTCTGTCTGTCTGTCTGTCTGTCTGTCTGTCTGTCTCTCTCTCTCTCTCTCTCTCTCTCTCTCTCTCTCTCTCTCTCTCTCTCTCTCTCTCTCTCTCTCTCTCTCTCTCTCTCTCTCTCTCTCTCTCTCTCTGACTTCTAGCATACTTGCATACTTGCACACGACACTTATTTAGCACAGAACACATATTTAGTACACAACACTTATTTAGCACACAACACTTATTTAGCACAAAACACTTTTTTTCACACCACTTATTTAGCACACAACTGTTATTTACCCCACAACACTTATTTAGTACACAACACTTATTTGGCACATAACACTTATTTAGCACACCACTTATTTAGCACACAACCCTTTTTTAGCACAACACTTATTTAGCACACAACACTTATTTAGCACACAACACTTTTTTTTAGTAAACAACACTTTTTTAGTACACACGCACACACAAATCAAGTGTTCGTGTTTTAAAAAAGCTATCCTGTTCTCGGGGTTTTAAAACAAAACATCCATAAAGTGGACTAAACTTTTGTTCATTTTAACCAAGTGTTCTTCTTATGCGAGTTTATGTTAATGAGGTTTAACTGTACTATCATGTAATAAATAATAAATCGCTTCTATAACACGTACAATAAAACTAAAAGAGAGAGAGAAAAAAAACGAAGAAACAAATTGACGACGATGGAGGATGAGTTCTTAACCAAAAACCTACAACAAGCCACTCAGAAACAAACACAATGTTATCAAAGTGAATCGACTGGGTTGAAATGCAAAAGGAGACAAATGCAACACAAATCCCACTTTTGCGTAAGATACAGAACATGGCTTCGTAGATAGACACAGAAATAGATGACATTATTCTAAAGTAACGTAGGTTTAAAGTATTACATTATATTTCTGTGGATTATCACAGTTACATTGAAGTCTATGTTGATCGTTTGAAAAAACTTAAAACAATATGTTTGTATTATTTCATTTCAAAGGATTTGGTTCTTTCGCAATATCCTACCCCAGATGACGTCACGGGACAGGTAAACATTTTAGAGGGTGGTAAGACTGGGTTTCATAGCTTTCTAATGCTTTTAATGATCCCAAAACATCCAGATCTGGCCCTAACCCCAACCCACCTACGTCCCACAAGAGAGTTCAGCCTAAGTCCCACGACTGCATGCAGCCTATCTACTACCCCCTGAAATATTAGACTGTTACGTGACGTGGATTTCCCCTGTTTGGGGTAGGGTATTAAGAAAGCACCAAGGATTTTTTTTTTTCATTTGTGTTTTAAGCTGGCCGTGAAACCTCGTTACTGTACACATGCATCAACAGATTTATGTTATATGTCTATTCGGTATCCCTGGTCGGGACGGGGGAGTCGCCTTGGCCGAGCGGCTAGACGCTCGCCGCGGATCGGAAGGCCGTGGGTTAGCTCCCTGGCGTAGCCGGACTATTTTCAAAAAAATGACCTTGGCTCCCAGGTCGACCCAGCTTTGAGTAGGTACCGGGTGCAGTCCCGGGAGGTAAAGGCGGCCGGCGTGGTGCTGACCACATCACCTATCTTGTGCCGATTGATCTATAAAAATATATGTCTAGCCCTATATGCCCTATACGCCTATAGGCGGAGAAAAGGGTCCTTTCTTACTTTACTTACTGGTCCGGACGATGACAGTTAAAGTTTTACAGTACCTTAATTCCAGCCAGCATGCTTCTCTCAGGCACATAGGTCTGATTCTGAATGGCCGCCTCTTTTTCAGCATTTGAGGGCCAAGCAAATTCCAGTTGATTCCACTCGTGCACCAGAACGGCATCGCCAAATTTCTGGGCGCTAGTTTGTGAAACTACAAACAACAACAACGAAGCCACAGCAAAGCCAGACTGAATGGAGTTGGGCTTCATCGTTTTTACTAAATACTTTATAAGCAGACTTATATCTGGTAAGCAATGGCAAACTATGTATAACTGTCAGATGAAACGACAAGCAGCCAACAAATGTAAGGCTTGCTTTATGACGTTCTGTAAAGAAAAAGCAGCTAACTCATCTTTATAGAGAAACTTGACACGCATGATTAGCTATCATGACTTGCTGTTTTTGTTTCGTTTGTTTAAGGTGAGAATTTTTAAGATTACATCCGTTTCCGGTTTCGTCGCTTTATGGATCCTTTAACAGGTGTCCTGTCTCCACAATGTATATCCCTGTTTTAGGGATATTGCATGGTAAGGCCGCAGTATCTTCTACGGTACTACTCTCATACTACTGTCAGAATGCCACGAGCAAGCTGTTTTTTTTTCAGCTGTCCCCGTGGAAATCGAAGCATGATGATGAATATTTTGACATGCCTTAACTACCGTCTAGACCACCCAGCGGCACACTTGAAGTAAAAAGACCCTTGCGTCTTAGGCATATAGGGCTAGATCTAAATGTTATGTCTAAATCGGCATTTGGTATATGATGTGGTAAACATCACCCCGGTCGCCTTTACTTCCTATGACTACCTGGTGCCAATTTTAGGCTGGGTCGATCTGGCGGCCAAGGTCTTAAAAAATAAATCCGCTCAATGCAGATTTGAACCTAACACTTTCAGGCTTGAGACGAAGGTCTAGCCGCTACACACCGGCAGCGCCTACGCTTGGAGCATAGGTAAAGTTCTAGTAGCTGTCAGGGACGGGAGAGGGGGGGAGGAGAGAGAGATTAACCACGAATTGTTGTCATCGCCTGCATCTCTTGTTCGCTTGTTTGCATTTACCGAATTGTTCTGTCTTCGTTGTGAAAAAGTTGTTGACACGCTGTAGTTTACAGCTAGGAGGTGTAATCTGCACCTATCACAATAGCTAGTTAGCCTTTTAGAGGGGTGATTATTAGAGTTCCTATAGATGCTATGGACGCAATATTTGAGGAGAACTGTCCCATAAACAGCATCCTGTCCCGAAAGCTGTGGTATTGTGTTAAACGTCAGGGTGGCCTGGAGAGAATGCCAGTGGAGGGTTATACTTTCCAAAAAACGAGGCAGATGCAGACCTCTACGAAAGTAGATTCCAAATATTATTAGATTATTTGTCTATGAAAGCACAGAGGGCTGGAGAATGAGCTAGAGATAAAGATACGTTTAGGCGTGGAGTAACAAGAACGTTGTTCTGTACGGGACCCATTGTTTGATGATGATGATGATGATGATGATGAGGATGATGATGATGATGATGATGATGATGATGATGATGATGAGGATGATGATGATGATGATGATGATGATGATGATAGATGAAATGTTTACCAATTTAAAATAACTTTCACGGTGGAAGAGGAAAGGAGTATTCAGGCTTTTGAATTCAAACACTACAAACGAATTTTACGAATTAGCTATTAAGAACATTAAACTAACAAATATATCAGAAACAGAATAAGCGAATTTGCAGAACTTCACGAGTCTCTGCTGGCGGTGAGTAAACATCGCATTCAAGCTTGGATCGGGCATGTGTGAAGACATGATTTGTTGCAAAGCCTGTATTCAAGGAACATTGGAGGGTAGTCGAACAGGAGTTTGGCAATAAAAACCTGGAATAACAACATCATGAAAGTAAAGGACTAAATTACTTTACAGTTGCTCAACAAGGGAAAGACAGTGAAAGTTGGCAGGTTGTGTATGCCAGTGTATACATCTCCACGACCTTAAAGGGTCAATTGATAATTTATGGTGAATACATTTTATTTTTTTTTCTCATCATCATCATCATCATCATCATCATCATCATCATCATCATCATCATCATCATCATCATCAGTTTGAATTGCCCATGTTCAGCCTTTACCTAGGGAGCAAGACTCTCCTTCTCATGCAGTTATTTAATTGTTGGTTTTGTGTGTGTGTGTTTTTTTTTTTAGTGTTGGTGGTTCTGGCTTCCCATGTGACTTTCTACCCCACTAGGACATCACACAAGCGATAAACATCCGATGACACAATGTGCCACCATGTGGATGAGGATCACCGTGGAGAGGTCCCAGAAACCGCGTTCAGACATTTGGCCATTTTTATGGCCTGCCTATATTGCGGCCCCTGACAAAAGCCAGAGTGGGGCTTCAAATAACAAAAAATTACGTCCTGAGAAGGACGTAAGGACTTCAAACTATATGAGCTTCCCATGTTTGTCTAGCCAGGTTTTATGCGTGTTGTTTGTAACGCCATGATCTTAGTGCTGATTGGTTCGTTTCGTGCTCTTTATGTTGCTGGATTGAAGGATCTCTGTCATTGGTTGCTGTCCCGAGAGCGCCGCAAGAACACAAACTCCGTGGCTCCAGCGACGATCCCCATAGATCTCCGGAAAAATTGCACTTACGAACTAAAGGGCACAGCCGTGACAGGAACCCACGACCTTCAGGGAGCTGGGGGTCTCCATGGCGAAGTGGTCAAGTCGTTTACCTCGCGCTCTGAAAGTCGTGTTGATAATTTGATACTAGTAGTTGCCTTGACATTCTCTTATTTCGCACTGCTTTTAGGTTGAGAGTAATCTGAAACTAAAACGTAAAATGAATTACTCTTCTCGGGCCTAATACACGTAATGTATGTAATGCATACATGTAATGTTCATACTCCCCTGGGGAGTTCTTTTTATTTACGGTATCTAGTGATAGATTTTTGAACAGCCTTAAGCGTCTATGGTTAAACACCAGCAAGGAGATCAAAATTAGAATTTTGAGAGCATGCATCTTCCCTGTGGCTACATACAGATGTGAGTCGTGGACTATCTCTCAACACAGCACCTTAAGAAAGAGAATAGGGGCTTTTGAGCTGAAATTCTATAGAAAGATTTGCAGAATATCTTGGACAAAGAAGAGGAGAAATACTAACATCTTGAAAGATCTGAACATCAAGGAAGTTTGGCTAAAAAACAGCATCCTGTCTCGGAAGCTGATCTATTTTGATCATATCAAGCGCCGCGACGGATTGGAAAAAATTATAGCAGAAGGCATAGTACCAGGAAGAAGGGGTAGGGACCGACTGACACGAAGATGGGCACAAGATATAAGTTACTCCTTAAGTATGAAAGTACATGAGGCGGGAGAACTGTTTCTTTCAGGCAGACTGTGATGAGAGCGACGTTCTGCAAAGGATCTGTTACATGATGATGATGAGTATTAGATTCATAGTGGTATCGACACAGAATCACTAAATGCAGTCATGGGACCTAGGCTGCATGCACTCGTGGGACCTAGGCTGCACTCTCTCATGGGACGTAGGAGGATTCGGGTTAGGGCCAGTTTAAATGTTTTGGGGTCGTTAAAAGCATCAGAAAGCCAGGAAGCCCAGTCTTGCTGATGTTTGACTATACTGTGTCGTCATCTGGGTAGGATATCACGAAAGAATCGTAAACTTTGTTAAAGCGAACAATAATAATAATAATAATAATAATTAAAAAAAAATAATGGCAAGAAATACAATATTTCGAATATTTGAAAGTTACTGTATCAGCTCGTGCCCAAAATGAGAAGGTTGGGCATGGTTAAGGGCCCAGTTTAGGACTCCTTACACACCTCCAGGCTCAGAGAAGCGCTGGACCTGCAGGAAAACGTGATTACTGTTGTGCTACATAAGCTCAGGGTTGTAAGTTAACGAGTCGTTGCTCTAACTGAGATTTGTGCTGAAAGCTTTTTTCTGGATGTGAGCAGACAGATTCTGACAAAAGTGGTGGGGAGGGCGGGGGGGGGGGGGGCGGGTTCCTTTTCCTCGATTTACTCCTCCTCCCCTACCCCTTCTTCTTCTTCTTCTTCTTCTTCTTCTTCTTCTTCTTCTTCTTCTTCTTCTTCTTCTTCTTCTTCTTCTTCATCATCATCTTCTTCTTCTTCTTCTTTTTTCTTCTTCTTCTTCTTCTTCTTCTTCTTCTTCTTCTTCTTCTTCTTCTTCTTCTTCTTCTTCTTCTTCTTCTTCTTCTTCTTCTTCTTCTTCTTCTTCTTCTTCTTCTTCTTCTTCTTCTTCTCCTTCTTCTCCTTCTTCTTTTTCTTCTTCTTCATCATCTTCTTCTTCGTTTTCTTCTTCTTCTTCATCTTCTTCTTCTCCTTCTTCTACTTCTTCTTTTTCTTCTTCTTCATCTTCTTCTTCTTCATCTTCTTCTTCTTCGTTTTCTTCTTCTTCATCATCATCATCTTCTTCTTCTTCTTCTTCTTCTTCTTCTTCTTCTTCTTCTTCTTCTTCTTCTTCTTCTTCTTCTTCTTCTTCTTCTTCTTCTTCTTCTTCTTCTTCTTTTTTTTTTCTTCTTCTTCTTCTTCTTTTGCTGCTGCTTTTTCTTATGATTTCTTCTTTTTTAGCGTTTGCCCCTAAAAAAACTAGCAAGTTGTGTTGCGGTTTGCACGTAGCTGAGTTATTTGCGGCGTATGGCACATGCTTCCGATTTCTGGAGAAAAAAAAAACACGAAATGTCACATTTTACTAGATGTTTGTTAGGGGAAGGAAGGCCAGTTTTGCCCCCCCCCCCTCCCCCCACCCCTCTTCTTCCAAAGAGGCACGGGAACCAAAACGGGGAAATATATAAATAAATTGGGGAAAACAGGTATGCTATTTCAATAGCCGTATTGGCAAGGATATGCCGTCTTCCAGGATGCGGACAGAAATGTCGAGATAGTTTTTCTATATTGGGTTACTGGAATGTAATGACACTTGTAGAAAATACGGATCTTGTGCACTGACACCGTCAACAGAATCCACATGCCGGTTTGTCATATCCTGGATCAGGCGACGAGGTATGGATGTATGCTCAGTTATTCATTGCCGTATTTCTCCTATTGCAGAGTTAAAATAAAAAAGATAAAAATAGGTAATGGCTTACCTGTACTGACGGATAGGGTGTAACGGGGCCGCCGAAGTTGGTACTTTCGTACAAATCTGGTACTCTTTGACCCTTCCCGAACAAAACTGTACTTCTTGTACCACGTCCGACGTTTTGGTACGTTTCAGAAAGTTTGGCATTGAGTTAAACCTTTAAAACAGTCTGACTATGCGTGTACTGAAAACAACCGTGATACAGTTGTTGTGAATTTCCATTTCCATTTGATGAAATTGACTAGCTTTTTTTCAATTAAAAATTTTCCATGGCGCCCTAGCCAAAGTAAAAGTTTGATTATCATGTGTAAGAGAAAAAAAAAAAAAACCAAAAAAATGTATCTTCGCATATTTCGCGGCCCCCTGTTAAAAGGTCGAGGCTCCCCGGGGCGCCTTGTAGAAAGGTCGAGGCTCCCCAGGGGGCCGCGGCTCACAGTTTGGAAATACCTGCCTTAGACACGTCTTCTACACATTTCAAAAATTCGACTAGGACATTTTTCACACATGGCGATTTACCTTCTTTTAGTGAGCGTATCACCTCCTCAACTTCTTCTCCTAATATTTCAGCGTCGCCAACTTCTCTTTTTTCCCATACGATTGTGTCTGGAACTGCAGTGTCAAGCTTCGCTTATTTGATTTCATAAGTCTTTACATTATTCTGTCTATCTCTCCAATATTGCTGTTCTCTCATCAAGTTTTTATCTGTTGATATCCTCTGTAATAGGTATCTTGGGTTTTATAGTTGGTTAGTCTTTTTTGTTGTCCTGTAAGCTGCCCTGTTGTCCTGTTTCAGGCCCACTCACTGGACTCATACTGGTTTTTAATCCATTTTTCTTTCACCATCTCCATTGCTTTATTTGTGTTTTTAAAAAAAATAACTGCTGTATCGTTCTGCTACTGTTCGAATTTGCTTTTTCTCCTCTTTAATTTCAAGATGTCGCCTATTACCCATGGGTTCAGAGGTATGTTCTTTTTACCTAAGATTTCTTTTGCTGCACACAAGCGACCCTCGTTCATGCTTTGCGTCAGCGAATTCATGTCTTCTTCCAAGAGATTTAAAACGAGAAATGTGCCTCCTGAAGTTGCGCTGAAGATCTAAGCAATTTCCAGATTCTTCAGTTTTTGTAGACTGAATCTCAATCGAGTGTAGTTGTTACAAAAGTACTTCTTTTGCAGTTTACGTGTGAGACCCATCTCGTGATCGCTGCCAATTTCAGCTTCCGGGAAAATCCTTGTCTTTGCTTGTTTGATGCTCAATTTCAACCATTTTTGGAACAGTATACAATCGATCTGGTTGTTTATTTCTGCATTTGGTGCATGCCACGTTGTTTTTCTGGATGCTTTGCGTAGTAACAATGTATTGTCGATGATTAACGTATAATTGCTGGCAAAGTCTATCAGTCTTCTTCCCCGGTTATGTGTTTCTCCTAAATGTCCACTTTCTGCGATAATGGCAAAGTAGTGAACGTTAACTTGTAAACAACCACAGCCAATACATTCATGGTTTGGTTTATGACCTCCAACAGACGAGAAGAAACTAATCTTTTTAAACATGTGGATTCGGGGAGCAGCTGGGAGAGCAATTAGAGGCGTTGTGGGTTCCGGGCTCCGTTTTGGAGGACAACACTTCCCCACACCCATATCGTAAGAGTTGACTAATTAGGGGTTTCCTTCGAAGTTGGATTTCATTTGTCTGAGAGACTAGGAACCAACAGTCTGTGTACACATAAGCCAGATCTGTAAAACATAGGTGCACGCAAAATTCACGTTTTAAAACAGGTCTGAAGTCCAGAAGTGGAAGAACAACCAAAACTTTAACCGGATTTTTGCAGCAAGTGAACGCGAAGAAAAAGAAAAAAAAAGGAGTAGAAGAAGAGTCATGGTTCGAATCTTCGATAGGGAGATGGCAGCAATTTTCTGTCCAGGGCAGAAGTAAAAATCCTAACATACACAGCTTGTGCAACTGTATTAGCTTAGCTAGTTAGTTAGTTAATCGATAGATTATCCTCATTTTCACATCAGACATGATGTCCTACCTCCTTGAGAGCTCTGAGAATATCGGCCCGGTCCATTAATTTACCTTTACCTAACTTGGCCCTCCAGCAAGCCAATCCGCTCCTTCATTCCCTCTTACCCCAGAGTTTCCTGTAACAAAAATGAAACTAATTCCTATCTATCGAGATTTCCTCAGCGACGCCAGCCATTTTTTCCTGAATCCATCCTGTCACGATCTTTTTAAGCATGCTCACGGAAGCACTTAGAAAGCACGCATGCCTAAATCTTGAGACTCAAGAAGACCCCCTAACACAACACTCTAGTCAGTAGCAGATGCAGTCAGTAAAGACATGTCTTTAATAGGCAATGGTTGGAGATTCATGGGTGTAATATGCTCTTCTAGGGGCATGTATTAATTTGTTTGCATTGCTTTCAGACGAACAGTGAGTTGAAACGACACAGCATGAACGAATATTGAGTTGCTTGCTTTTATTCGTTGAATCGCCAGTTATCGCACACATACATTCTCGCTTCCTCGTGCTCGTCTTGCTTGGCTGAATCTAGCGACCTGGTCGGACTTCTCACACACTACAGGAATTGATCAGCGTCTCTCGAACCATCCATCTATCCTTCACGAACTCTGGTACCTGACATTACGACGTGTGGAAAAACATTCAATCCTTCTATTGAAATATAACATTCGTTTCACAAATCATTTATCCTTCTCAGGCGTCTACTCATGCGTCCTCTCTCAGTCAGGGCCGAACTTCAACTGTCTACTTCTGTCTCCCGGT